CTTTAGAGCCCACACATTAATGCCCTATAGTGCTAATACACCAAGCTTTGACACCTTTTCCTTCATATTATTTCCTGTTTTACTAAGAAAAGTACAAGATAAATATTCTATTTATGCCCTAAATCAAACCTTAGCCAAACCATCTGTCTCAAAATGTAAGGAGCCCAGCTGTTACGCTCTGCCCGTTTTCTGAGCATGCTAAATCTGGCAGAAATGGCACATAGAAGGACATAAACCACGTGCAAATGGACAGTCATCTTATCGGTCTCCTTCAGCAAAGTAAAAATATGACCTACTGATCTGTTCATATATTCTTGTGCCCAGGACCCCCACTCCTGTGGGCATTTTAAGCCTACCGCATACCTGAGCAGCAGAGACTTTATTCCCCTTGACTGATTTAGCATTTATCTCTGCACGCTCTTCTTCTCTCTTCTTAAATTTGTGCCATATTTTATCAGCTGACAGTGCACATCACTCACCAGATGATGGCAGCACTGTCTTTTCTGCTTATCCACCATACATAACAGGAGGCATTGGATGAGATTATGTGCAGTATAGCTGTGTTTTCACCCTACATAACCCTCTGCAGCACCGGTCTCCTGGGGATATTATTGGTATTGGGCATTTAGCATTTCCATCTCGTTATTCTTTCAAACTGTTGCTGTTTAGCAAACTATATATATATATATATATATTAAGTGGAAATGAGCTGAATGTGGCTTATACTTCCAGAAGGTTATGCACTTTCATGTACCAGTTGCTCTGATTAATAAGCGAGACAATGTGTTTAGACAAATGCTAGTGCAGTTTAATTCACTGGCTGCAGTATGACATGTCCTAGAACTCTTTTACACACGTACCATATTTACATACCCCCTGTAAATAAGAGAGTGACTGATCTTCTATACACAAGTAAATTATACATGCATTACTGCATTTAAAAGAAATAATCCTGGCAGGGAGCTACTGTGCTTCTCACTCTTATCCAAGCTAATTTGATTTGGCCAAAGAGCCAAACACAAATGAACCCTTACTAAAATAAACATGTCTGGATTCTTCTTTACAGGCCCCTGGCAGGAGCTACTCCCTTTCTCCACCAGCCAGAGTACAGTTCACGGGCCAGAAGTCAGCTTCAACTTCTTCCTCCCCAAAGCCCCCAGCACTGGGCTCCACAACTCCCTCGGCAAGGCAGACACCCTGGATGGAAAAAAGCCAAAAGCCCCTCACACCATGGGAGGCTGCCTCCCAGCATCCCATGGGCCTGGTAGATGAAGCTTTTGCTTTCCAGAGCCTCCAGCAAACCCTTGCTTCGAATGTGCGCTTGGCAGCCCAGCGCAAAATCTTGCCTGAGCCGCCAGCAGAGTGGAAAGCCAGGGTTTCTTACCAAGCACCGCAAAAAACAGGCAGCCAGACTTGGAGCCAAAGTCGGAGCCTGAGTCGAGCTTCGCTCCCATCGTTTGTGTCGCCAGTAAGGAGCTCTGTCTCCACCACAGTTAGTCATGCCGGTTACAGGTCGCTGCCCAGACAATGGCAGCCTCAGAAATCTGTGATAGAGGCTAACCCGAGGCCCTCGGTGTCTTCATATGAGTCTAAGAGCCCTTTCGGAAAGCAAACTTACAAGTCTGTGTACACCAGCAACACTTGGAGCTGGAGGCGGTAGACTACAGTTCAGCCTGTGTGGTCTTTAATGAGTCAAATCTCATTTATTCTGAGTTTCATAATACATTCACATGCAGTCAGGAAATAAAAAACAACAGCTTGTTAGAAAAGGACAGAAAGTTAACTGGTAGAGAACCTTTTAATACATTCTATTGTAAGATATTTGCATGCCAAAATTAAATAAGAAAAGATGTGGAAAAAATGAATGGCAAACACACTGATGTGGAAGACTAGTTGATTAGATAAAGAGATGAGTACGTTGTTTAGAGTGGCTAGAGAGAGTGCATCAATATCTTTGGTGGAAAAAGCATTTGTTTGCATATGTGGACTTATCTGTGATTGGGGAAAAAAAAGACACCTGTCATTTTGTAAGTTTTAAGTGAAGATTCTTCTTTCTTGAGTTGTTCTTGAGCTTGTGGATTTCCAGTAATCTGAGTTTGATATTTTGCTGTGGATGCATGCATCTGCCATGTAGGTTGCAACCATGGGTGTACACTTTTCTTTTCTTTTTTCTTTTCTTTTTTTTTGCTTGTTTTGGAAAATCCATGCAGGATTTGTGGTGTCCTCTGATAAGAAAATGATTCAAGTGCTAGAATGCAATTACTTTGGGAAAAGGTGCCATAACCTGTGATGTTGTTGGTGCACAATAGGTGCATTTTCAGTAATGCATTGGTATGTGGCCATTACCCTGGTTCTGCCAGAGGTTTCTTCCTGTTAAAAGGGAGTTTTTCGTTCCCAATGTCACCAAGTGCTTGCTCAAAGAGAGTCGTTTGATTGTTTGGATTTTCTCTGTATTATTGTAAGGTCTTGAGCTTTCAGTATAAAGTGCTTTGGGGCAACTGTTTTTGTGATTTGGTGCTATATCAATAAAATTGAATTGAATAGACATTTCAACTGTCTAGCATCACATACATAACAGTATATACTGTATAGGAGACAATCAAATGCAGTATGTAAAACGACTGACAACTTTTTGTTGGGAGTGAATTTCATCGACCGCTTCATACCAATGAAATCTAATTAACACTACAAGAAAGGTTTTTGTTTAGTTTATGGAAGGTTTACTGCTGCCAGGGCGACTGCTTACACTGTGCAATTGGCTTGTGGCTTATTTCTAGTTTGGGCTTTTGCTATCGACTTGTAATCATCTCCAAATGTTAAAGCTACGTTGGTGTTTCCACAGAGTGCGCATAATGTCCTAATGCGATTCTCACTGAGCAACCTCATAAATGCAAATAAGATTTATTACACAGTGTTGTGTTTTATGCAGATGTACTATAGTGTAGTGTAACAATCTCTGATTGTTTTACTGTATCACTTCCATTCAAACAACACATATTATGGTTGTAATACAATACAGCAATCCATTTCTGTTCCAAGCAAAGATATAGATTCATGTAGAGCATTCTATAAAATAAATGCAGTGAAATATCACAATTTAAGACGTTGCCCTTTTGTGCTCTTTGCTGTCTATTCCATCTTATGCTCGGGGCCATTTGTTGCTTGCTGTGCCATCCCGTGAAGCTTTTTGCAAGATGTGTTGTCTCAAATGGTCACTCCATATACAGCACGGGGAGTTGAGAGGGAGACCAGTTCCCATGGTGACCAGATGTTACATAACAACAGTGGGTACCTAGTGTAGCTGAACCATTAGAGAATGAGAGATAAGGGCACAGACGGAGCCGATAAAAAGCAAGTATTTCCCCACCAATTTGGATCTGGGAAACACTTTGCGGTTCAAATGCTTTTTAAAGGGGTGAAGCCTGTTAAAGTGCATAGCACTGTAGCACATGTAATTTTATTGTCTTGATGCACGCTCAATTATCCAAGTAAGAAAATCCCCAAAAGTTGATTCTGTTCAGCTGGACATAACTCATCCAAGTGACTTCTTCAGTCACGCTATGTCCAGATGAACAGAATCAACTTTTTGGGACATAACTTTCTTATTATTCTGTGTCCCAGGCATAGCTTTCTGTTCACTATGCAGTGCAGTTATGCCACAGCTTGATATCCAACCCTGAGTCCAACATAGCTCTGCTATGTGACGCAAACTCAGCCTGCCTTCTTAAAAAACTGGGGGAAAATGAGACTAAATTAAATGTAGCAAGGTTGTTGGAAACATTGTGATGGTATTATAAAGTAAATGAATTCCATTAGACTTTGGTACTTCCTTTATCACATGATGGCACTTAAAACAAATAGTATGTGATTGGTCTGCAAGCCCTGAGGGGACCATGTTCCCGTGGTGGACGTCACTGAATATATTTAATGTTAGCTGTGCATAGCAATTTCCTGAGTGCTGAAACAGCTTTATTTTGATGTTAAAGCTTCGTCAGTTGTTTACTAAGCGAGTTTTCATGTCTTTAGCATTTTTCAATGCATGTCTATTAGAAAAGTTGCAAGCTGGCAACACATTATTGTCCTATGTATGGTTAGAGCAACTCCAGTTCCTCCAACACTTATCAACTGCCAGATATATCCTCACTTTATCTTCCAGAGGGTTTTCATTTAAGTTTATCCGAACTACTGATCTAGCAATACAGATATGTATGCAATATAAACTCCCCAAAGCTGTCAGAAGAAATTCAGGTAACTGATTACCTTAAATATGGATTTAATTATTTTGCACAAGTCTAAAGTCACCCCACATTTGTTACTTCTTTTGCTTCCAGACTTTTTTTTGCAATTTTTGTGCTCTTGAAGAATAGTTTTCCAGTCTTTCTGAAGGTCTTTCAAAGTTTTTCTTTTGACAATAGCTGCTTTTTCATTCATTTTCAGTCCTTTTTTGTTCACTGAAGCCTCATCAGAAATGGTCTCAGTGGAAGGGTGGCTGTCAAGAAACCATTCTGAAGAAAGGGAAACATGGAGGAGAGACTGTCAGATTATACAAGAAATAGACTGAAAATCAGTTGCAACAGGTCTCATAGAGCGATTCATCCAAATGGGAAATTTGTGGTTCAAGACATCTTTGATGTGTTAGGATAACGAGGGACAACACTGAGTGTCTTCGGCCATCTACATGGCATGGTCAAAGTTCTGTCTAATTGGTAACAGCTTCATTTTTGAGCATGATAATGATCCCAAATACTGCCAGTGCTGTAAAAGCATATCAGCATAGAAAAACACACACTGGTTCGCAGTCAAACACACTTGCAGTGTGGGCTTTCTTCTTTGAATGTCCTTTAAGAAGCTTGGAGAACTATATCTGAAGGCTACTTAAAGAAATGACGAGAAAGCTGCCTAAGAGAGCTCAGGCTGTGTTGAAGAATGGAAGCGATCGTACCAAATACTGATTTTCAATCTCTGTACTTTATATTTTCCAAATATATAAAGAAATTAGTGGCGGCTCAGGACTTTTGCACAGCACTGTACATGCCTAAATGCAGTGAGTTGCAGTTATCCGACTGGGTAACAGGTATGCCTAATAAAAGTGTTTGCCTTTTATTTATTTATTTGCTTTTTTCATTAAGTTCATTCTCATTTTTTTACATAATAACTCTAAAAGTGCCTTCTAGGTAAATGTTTGCCTGTTTTGAAATGAACACAGATTCATTCTGAGCTACTGTAATAACACCGGCCAAGGGAGATGGTGTTGGGCAAGTGAAGTAGTAGTGGCAGCGATCTAAATTTAGTCGCCCTCTGCTTGTGAACTAAATACCAATGACAACAGACAAACTGACACCCACCCACCCACTCATTCAGTCACTCACAGGCTGCAGCCCCCACTTGCTGCCCTCCCCAACACAAGCCTCAGTAACGGGGAGCGTGAGCGCCCACACGGGTCACACTACCCGGTCTGACCTCACCTTTCTTTCCCCGAGGAGACAGGCACAACTTGAGACAACCCCCCGAGGGTCCTTCAGGACAGGTAAGCCATCGCTTGGGCTTCTCCACAGGTGTGCTGTCCATGTCTAACGTGACACTTGCACTTTTAATCAAGCATGACTCTCTCTGCCACCTACACTCAGTCCCTCTGTATTTTACTGTTGGTGTGATAGCTTGCTTTTATATTTATTTATTTATTTATTTAATGAACGCATACATGAAAATGTATGTCTTTTTTCTGTATTAATTTAATTGTATATATGGGATATGTCCTGATTTATTTAAAGCAAATGTACCTAAAATGCAAAGCTATAAATAGCATATATATATCTACACAACAGCGTATTGGAGGTAAAGCATTTTGCAACCTTGTCTGTTATCAACTGATTTCTAAGTGATGGTAATTTGAAGACTTGCTGTGAAATTCTCATTGGTTCTTTGAGAAATTGTTCTTTGCTTTGTGGAAAGCATTTTGGATTCTAATAAAACACTTGTGTTCTCCGACACCTTGGTGTAAACTTTCCGATTTGCTCTCTAATCTGCTGTCTCACATGTTCAATGTGACAACACCATGCTCTGCATCCCTGTCCTTTCAGCCCACTTGGGTAATTTCAAACATATCGATTCCGAGACGCCCCTGACACTGCTGGTTGCCATATCTGCAGAGCATGTGCTTGGCGTTTAACAGCCCAAGGTTATTTAAAGGGATGTGCTAACTTTGCCCTTTTCACTGCCTTGATAAATTCTATCTGCTTCGGTGGGATTTTGTGCGTGTTGTGGGTGTTTGATGACTAACATGCAGCTGCCTTGCTTTTGTCTTCGATTGTACATTTGAACAGATTGTACTGATGTGCACTGTCTCCTGTAACTTTTTGCCTCACCCCAATCTCCCCAATGGCAGCCATGTCACAGTTCTCCACCATGACAACCAGAGAGAGGAAAATGCAGGCAGCAGCAATCTGCAGGGAGGTTCAAGCCCAAGAAGGTATCTGTATCGTTTCCTCTTCACTTGCATGTTTTCCTGATCCCTCTGACCTCCCACATTCTGTTCTTACCTTCTTCATTAAACATGTAAACAAAGACAAGGAGTTAACAACACCACAGGTTACAGTACAGATCTGTTAGCCTTACTGTCAAATTCTCCAACATTTACTTTATAAAAGGCATGAGCCCATCATTTTCTAGCAAAACAGTTGCCAACCCTCCCCTCTACGATCCTATAAATAAGCAAATGACTACTTTTATGGCTCATAGTAACTAATCCTTTGTCGTTCCCCTTTGAACACGCTATTTCAGGGCGTGGACAACTGTGCGCCTTGGGGATGGGGAGGGTCTGAAGGCTACTGACAGCTGAAAGATATTCTGGCAAATTATGTGTCTCACGCTTGAATATAGGCCGATGACATCTCCATGATCAGCATGCAGTAGCTAGCATGCGGAGCAAACCACAAAACAAGCATTGAACATGAGCTGATTACGAGGGAAGATAATTCCTCATTCATCATACTGGCAGGAATGCTAAGTCAGCAGCCATGTACAGGATTTTTTCTTTTGTGCAGTGAGGTTTTTTTTTCCTGTATGGATTTAATTTGATTCAGCATAGGTGGGAGTATAGGACTCGTGAAAATACATTTGTCTTGTCAGAAGTCTGATTCAAGCACTGAATAAACACAAGTTGTTTAGTCTCTTGTTTTGTTTCCTTCTGTTCAGATATAGAAATGGATCTGGGAAAGAAAATGAGTGTGCCTAAGGACATAATGCTGGAGGAGCTGTCTTTCGCCTCCAACCGGGGCTCCCGTCTCTTCAAAATGCGTCAGAGACGATCAGAAAAATACACTTTTGAGAGCATCCAGAACCAAAACAACACACAGCTGAATGTAAGAAGAACTGTGGTTTAAATTATTATCTTAAAGAAATGTTTAGATATTGGGGAAAATAATCTTCTTTTTCAACAATAGGTCCCAAAACCTAGTCCTTGTTCATGTTTGCGTAGGAAAGTTAAAGCTGCAGGCAGTAGCAGGCTACCTTATCGGGAAGATTTGCTAGCCAGTTACCTTGACTCTCTCGAAAGATAAAAACGAATTAAATCAAACAAACTGACTAACCAGACGAACCAATCACCCTAATCTAACCAACTAAGCTGATCAACCCAACGCAACCCAAACAAACAATCAATCAACCCAACTAAACCAAACAAGCTTACCAACCAAACTAATCAAATTAACCAACACAACCAACCCAACAATCAACTCAAAAGAAAATCTGTCCTCTAAAACTTTATAATCCACATTTCATATCTTCTTTGTTTGAAATGTACCAGTTTAAGATCACTGCAACATAACAGCATGTAAATCCCATATGCAGCTGTTAACTGATACTTTAAAGCATCAATGTAGCCACTGTAGCTCACATTAAACAATAGTGTGAGTCAGATATTTTAATTAAAAAGGCCCCAGAAAGGATCAAGATCACAAACACACTGTTGAGGTCCAGTTCAGCCACTAAGATGAAGTCTAAAGATGGCTACCGGCCTGATGCTGACCGGTTACTAAAAGCAGCCCATGCTTTTAATCATGCAGAACTTAAACTTTTAATACAAACCCAAGCTGTCTTTTGTAATAGGTTGGAGACATGTTCATCTCTGGTCTAAAGCTGAGCATTTACATACTGGATTCTAAGGGGATTCAGTCACTTTTGGAGGCAGTTCTTGGCATCTCTATCGGTCAATTCTTTAGCACCCAAGGTTGCAATCTTTAAATCTTTTAACCACCTAACTCCCGATAAGACAGCAAATAAGCAGATAATCTCATTAAACTGCACAACTAATCACTGAAATGCACATAAATTTATGATCATTTGTAGGGATAAAGATTAAGAGGGAACCATAAGAATTTCACATTGCTAGCATGCATATTTTTCATGCCCAATTATCCATTTTCTAATACATCTTCTTTCACCAAAACATAAAAAACATTCCACCTTACATCCTGACAAAGTATATGTGGGAAAGATTAAGCACTTCGAGTGTTTATATTGCTTGTGCCACAAACACAGGCCAGCGTGTCTGTAGCACAAGTCGTGCAGTTGGTCATAAGTAGTTTTATTAATGTTCCTTTGTGTATGGATGGGCAACACGCCAAGTTAGCATTTTCTTTTCTCAGCGGTACCATTCGCTGATCTGGTCACACAAAGAAGTTCGTGTCTCACAGCGCACAGCTGGGTTTCTCTCTGTTATATCTAATTAATTAGGATCCCTAGTTATGTCCTCTTTAATTTAGTCGTGTGGTTCCCTTGTGTACTTTTCAATGCCCCCTTGAAGTCCACAGATAAAATAATTATTATGCTCAAGAGAAGTTTTTCCCCTCATCTTTGATGTATGAAGGACTTAGATATCTCGGTTTGTTTATTGCTCTGGGCAATAGAAGGATTTTGTTTCAAGTTGTCAACATTTCCTGAGGAAATCCTCGAGTAAATCATCAAAAATATCTTTCAGAGGGGATGAAAAGCCGGGTACTGGGGCTGCAGTACATTTCATCTCAGTCCAGAGAATAGTATTTCGAATGTAGAGGGCAAATGGACAGACAACTGGACAAACAGATAGCTCCTTTGTTTAAGGAAAACGTGGAAAATTGAAGATCTGTTACGTGCTTATCATGTGATATCGCTGCATTGAAGATACGATTTACTGTTTAGTTTAGAAACTTTGATATGCATGTCATGGTTATCCATTTGTATGTCATATTAACCTCAAAGATGGCAAGATGTTTGCTGCTCGTTTCTCCTGTTACCAAGTAACCAAACAAATGATGTCGAAAATGCTCCAAAAATCTAGCGCGTGAAACGTTGATATGAATTGTCAGGAATCAACTGATTGATAAATGGTTTCAAACCTTTTTTGTGGGCCTGACTGACCTCTTTGATCTTTCTTGTAGAGCATTGCCATCTTCCAAACTGAGACTGGGAATACCACTGACAGCCACAGCGGCCAGAACAACGTAGGTCTTGACCAGCCACCGAAAGTGACATGTGACACAACAACTATGGAAATGGTGCCAGATCCCACCAGCATTGCTCCGGGTAGGTAAAGCTGTGTGATACAGTGCACTGAAAAAACTTTCCAAGGACTCAAAATCATACAGCAGTGATATACTACTGACTTATATTCAGCTGTTTCTATCCATTTAACCTGTTTGCGTTAATTGTGTTGTACTAAACTTTGGTCTTTTTGCTGTATGATGAATGCTAAATACAGCTCCCAGCGGAGTGACTGCGCGCATGTGCTCTGCACAAAGTACTAGATGTGCCGTGTTTTGATATGGATTCAACTGTTTCTCGTTGTTTGTACTCAAGCAGGCTTTGATCGTGCAGGAAAACAATTTTCTTCTTTGCCTGGAATCTGCCAGCCTCGGGCTAAATATGATTACACATTTCTGTTCTCCCTCTCTGAGCCTGACTCCTTTATTTATTTTTATATATTCATCCTACTCCCTTCTCTCATGTCTACTCCTTTTATTCAACCATCCTTATTGCAATCAGCTCTTACCATCATTCGAAAATTCGTTGAGTTTTACTCACGGAAACCGTTTCCTGTTTGGCTCTTGTGCTGCTGATACCATCAGCTGTGCACTCACATCCTCCCTCATGTCCTAATTTTGCTCAGCTGACACAAAACCATGATTTAAGGATGACCGTGTTGACACTAGGGTGGGGTGCTATTTGTGGACCAGACACAGACCCCAGAGTATGTGAATGAAGTCAGTCCAACTGTAGCAGAAATCAAGCCAAAGTGCATCAGGTATCAAATGGGAATTATGTTTAAAATAGCCCACTCATCCACTTACTGTAGGAGTGCATGCCAGGCAATAGTCATATACAGTAAGCCCATTTCAACAGTTAAACACCGGAAACTTCACAAAAAGTTATTTTTGTGCCATTTTTCAACAATGGAACAAGGAAAAAGCAAACGTGCCTTTAGTTATCAGGCCACTTGGACACTAATTAAGCCAATTGCTGTCTTTTTCACATTTCCTTTTTGGTTTAGTTCCTTCTTTTATCCCTGCATGAAGCTGGGGTGTAATCATCCTTTCCCATGAAAGTATCAGCTTAGCCAAACGTCCAACCACAGGAATAATATCCCATGGCCTCAGAAACATTTTTACACAGTGTTTTGTCATAGATTATTCCCCCCCAACAAAAAAAAAATCTGTAAACTTCCCCACAGGTCTGTTTGGTTTCTCCTGCTTCCTCCTCAGGGCAAAACATAAACTCAGGAAGGGGGAATTGTTCATTGTGAGGGGTTAGGACGTGACACAGCGGCCCGTGTTATGTAACGCCAAGCTTGCAAGCCCCCCTGAGTGAAGCGCTGGGTTTGAAGGATAGTACTTTCGATTGGACTCTCCCATCAACACACACAGTGTATGTGGGGAGACATACATGCAGGCATGCATCCACACACCCACACACACAAACACGGGGAAGCTGTGCCTTTATTCTGTTTGGCTGAGAACTGTAATGAGAAAAAAAGGAGCTAAAGAAGAAAGACAGGACACTTAGACTGCTGTTAAATTAGGTACACATTTGTAACAAAATACAGATTAAGATTTTTTTTTAAAATGTCACTTTCCTTTAGTCTGACCTGACCTGATCTCTTTGTTCTTTTGCATTTACATGCAGTCAAACAAAAAGAAAAAACAAAATCAGTTAAAAGTTTAACAGTTACAGACGGTGGAAAGGGGAAACGTTTTTTCACTTCTGAACTCAAGTTTTCTTCAGATCTGCGATGAAAGTGAAGGATCTGCTTTCTTTGGACAGTACGTTCGCTGGTGGCTGTTGAAGAAAGTATTTTGAACTGACTCTCACTAAGTTCTGGTTAGCGAACCGTGTGGAAAAAGCCAACGCCTGGTCTTTATTTGACATAGAAAAACAGAAAAGCCCCACATGCCTTCACTGCCAGTGTTGTATAATTTATCCAGGGTATGGAGGTCCTTTGAAAGACATCCCTCCGGAGAAGTTCAACAGTACAGCTGTGCCGAAGTCCTACCACTCACCCTGGGAGCAGGCCATTATCAATGACCCTGCCTTGGCTGACACTCTCATCACCCGCATGCCAGAGCTGGCACCTCAACAAGACCTGCCAGGGTACAAAAGCTTCAACAGGTAATGCCCAAATACGTCAGATGTGTCAAATATAAGGCCCGAGGGCCAGAATCATCCCATCAAAGACTCCAATCCGGCCCACAAAATGGCTCAGGAAAATGTGAAAGAGGGCATATATTTTGGACTTTTAAATGACGTTTTACAGATTTTCCTACTGATAAAGGCCTCACCTGAAACAGATGAACAAATGGAAACACAAATGGAAATTAGGACTTAACAGTGAAGCTATAACAATAAAACATTTAAATATATAACTGTTGAGGGTGCGTTTTACTATTTATGAATGTAAATTGCATCCATTCAAAAGTCTAACAATTTCTCTCTCTGAATTATACATTCTTGCTTTAATATAGCATGAATGCAAGTGGTGAGTGAGCAAAGAAAATACTGTCCTTCACCTCATTCGTAGCACAGTGTTTCTCACACTCAGCAACTGTATCTTAGAAATGTCCCCGGGTCAATGTCTTTGCTTGGCTTTAATTAATTGCATCACTTCAAATGTCACTTCAAGTTTCTCTCATTAGCACATGTTGTCTGCTGTTAACACCGTGGCTTTTGTCATCTCCAGGGTGGCAACCCCTTTCGGTGGTTTCAGCAAAGCACCCAGGCCTGCTCCCGTCAAGACCCTTCAGGTAGAAACCCTCCCAGAGCTCCCGGAGCTCCAAGGGGACACCCCAGTAATTCGACCCTCCTTCAACAGATCTGCTCTGGGGTGGGTGTCTACGGGAGGTCCAGTCCCCCTCCCTAATGTTTCTGTCGAGAATGCGCTCATCCCTGAGTCAGAAGACCTTTGAACCCATGTTGAAGTCACACAGAGATGCTGTCTACTTAGTTGCTTAACCTGAGGTTGTTGTTTGTGGAGTGACGCTGGAGTCAGAACAGAGCATCCTGTTGGGTGTTGCTGGTTCAAGTTAGCGTGTATGTAGCACCCTTTGGTCTTTCCAGTGATGTTAACAGTTGCACTGCAGGGAATAATTTTAAAAAAATCACTGTGTACATTAGACAGACACACTACTGAAAACTGTTGTATATTGATTTTCATAAACAGATTTTATCTCACATTTTTGCTCAATAAAGTGGCGTACAATGATCAAAAATCCAATCAGAATTTTTGATTTTCCTTTTAATTGGTTTAAAAAGAATTGTAAGTTTCTGTCAAAGGCAAAAAATTGCACATTTCTGTTTTGGGAAAGGGAACAGAATGCAATATGTATGTGTGCAATACGGGTTGGTATGAGCTAGCTTCAGTGAAGGACGGTGCATTTTTGTGCCATAGTCCCATGCAAATTTCTCAGTTATCATAGTGTGCGAGAGGCCAGAGATCCATGTGAGCCAGTGTAACGTGCCTCAAGGTTACACTGCCTGACAAATCAAATCTGCTTCAGCGATATGAGCGACTTGACTGATGTGTCTCTCACCTTTTGGCTATGCCAAGTAGAAGAAAGATTGACGTTTGATAAGCTGTGGCCACTGTCTTTCTGTTTACTACCACAACAGCCTATTTTGGAAGGCACCTCAGCTGCAACAAGCTCAAGCAGCCAGATTTATTCCAAATACCATACATGTTGCATTTGGGGTGAATAGATATTGTGCAGTTATCTTATGGTTATTCAGAGAGATAAATTAATAAAATAAAATAAAATAGAAATTAAAGAAATTATTGGAATTTTGTTCATGTATACTCAAGCATCATCTCTTCATACAATATTTATTTATTTATAAAGCAGCTAGTATAGTAGCATACTGTCAGGCTAACTTTTAGCTAGCATGCTAACTTTGTACTAAGTGTTTCTATTAATCTGTTTTAAATTCTATCTTTCGGCACTTTGTCACTAGTAGCATGTCACAAAAACAAACAGCTGATTCCCATTTCTTTAGTTGAATCTATTTTAAAAATGATAGTTTGACTGACAGTTTGGCAGGCACAAAATACTTTTTTCACCAACAATGTGATTCCTGATGAGCTATTGACCAAAATCCTGAGATAGCTGTCAATGGTGTGCAGTGTGTCCTTAAAAAATTTGAGGAAACTTGATGGAAGACAAAAGAACTATTGGCAGAACTGAAAGGCTATCTACAGAAGATAAACAGTATCTGAAAGAAATGTGCTTTAAAAAACCTGAACCCCCCCCCACAAAAACAAAAAAACAAAAAACACAGCAAAGACCTGACATAGGACCTGAGAGATCCCTCACCTCATCAGAAATGGGCTCAGTGGAAGGGTGACTGTCAAGAGGCCATTCTTAACAAATGGAAACAGGAAGAAAAGGTATGCCAAATTACACAAATCAACCTGGTACTAGCAGTAATATGAATATTACATGGCTATGCTCTATTCTTGGTGATGTCAAAGAGATACACTGAAACATATTGATAAGATTAAAAAACTCTATGGAGGATATATGTTGTTTATATGCAAAAAATAGGTATATAAATGAGATGTTGCTTACATGAAATTAAAATGAAAGGACACTTTCATATCAAACTGTAGGCACATAAAGGCTAAAAGCAGATCATATTAGCACATTGCTAGGTGGTTGTCAGGCAGTGTGAATGTGCCAAACTATTTTACTATCAAGCAAAATTCAACTTTCATGGATACAAATTAGGTGAAAGAATGATAAGATGCTTTTATAAATTGTCATATGTGCATAATTGCCAAAAAAATGATCATTTTAGCCTGTTGCCAGATGGTTGCTAGGTAACATGATTATTTCATAATATCTGATATAGATCACTCTTAAATAGCCTCTGATGTACCTGTGTTTGAAGTTACATAAATTGAATTGAATTTACATAAATTTTAAATTTAAATTTTCATTTACATAACAAGAGTTTCTGTGTTTGACATACTTACACAGCATACTTTGATAACCTATGTTTCATGAAAGTAACATTATTATTGTGTTTAATACTTCAATAGCCTTTTTTCAACAAAATTATCACAATTTTTTTCTTATTTCTATTTTTTCAATATCTTATTATTTTATGTAAATAGTAAATAGTAATTTTGCTTGGTCTTGTGATGTGTGTATATTTTACAACTCAAGCCCAACTGATCGAAATATAAGTGGGAAATACCAAACAGACAATACTAAACGATACTGAACGGTCAGAAGGTTTAACAGCTAAAAGGTCTCAGTTATGACAGATCACATCTTAGTGTAGGTTGGCTACAACTGTCAATCACTGTGACAAGGTGTCATTTTGATTTCAGGTAAGTTGATTGCCTTGAATTAACTTTCAGTTAAGTTTATCAAGGCAAATCATCCTTTGATAAAGATAACTTGCCTTGCTACATAATGAAACCTTGACTATTTGCAACACTGCTGCATACTTAGCTGCTGATTTCTGTTAAAGTGGTTCTGTTCCTGCTGCCAAAAATGAAATAAGAAATGCCTGTCAGATATTTTGCAGCCATGTGACTCAGGCCAGTGTAGGCGTTCCTTGTCACTGTTGGAGAGCCTTTGGTATGTGCAGCTTCGGCTGCCACTCCCTTTTTTTGTCCTACTGAATTCCTCTAACCAGTCTCTTCAGGAAAACTGTTTGTACAGCACACCGCCTAGCATCCAACACTTCCAATAGCCCAGCCAAGTACCACAGCGGATATCGAGCAGTGTTTATCAGCACCAGGCACAACCTCACTTTGAACTTTGAATGTAGCCATTATCAAAATGCAGCACTGGAAAGATTATTGGCAGAGACCCTAGCTGGGGGTTGGGGAAGCCAGACGATTCGATTATTTGTGTCAAACTGCAACCAGTCTCCCCTGAGGCACATTTGCCTTGACATGAAATAGAACAGTAGGTACAGGCTAGAGCTACAGTTTGCCCGGGTTAGAGGATTGTCCCAAACAAAAAGGTTGGATGTAGGTTCAGCAATGGACTCTTATGGAGTCTTTGAACAGGAGATTAAACTTATAATCCTTTGCTCTTTTACAGTTGTGGTCAGAAGTTTACATACACTCATTATGGGCATGGATGTCATAGTAATTTGGAGCTGTTATCAATTTAAAAATAATCTTCTTGTAGGGTGTAATGATTTTACAGAATACATCTTTGTGACTGCGTGTACAAGTATACATAGCGACTCCAATATACACTTCCATGTGCAGTTTTTGAAAGTGCTGATTTTGGAGAAGGAGCTTCTTTCTTGGCCTCTCAGTCCATGATGATGTAAAACTGGCTTCACTGTGGACAGTGACGCTGGTGTTTCAGCAGTTTCTGGTTCATGGCAGGCTTGAGCCTTGGTGGTTTTCTGGGTTGTTCCTGAACATCCTAATAGACTTGTAGTCAAGCCGCCTAAACCAAGACCAAGACAAAGTTGAGACGAGACCAAGACCGAGAC